CCGTCTGTCTGTCTGTCTCTCTGGCCAGTGTGCATGCTCTATAGCAAAATCTCTCTCAAAAAAAAATTATTTACTTAATTTTATCGTTGTTATTTTTAAAAAATTTGCTAAAAGGTACGTGTGTTCACCAGAAAGTAAGAAAGTGGTGTGGTGATGAAGGTGGCTGGATCTCACCTGGCCAACTTTACAGTCCCAGACCCAGTGGCTTGAAAAACACAAGAGGCATGTGTGTATGTGTGCCGGAAATCCCGAGAGGATAGTGGAGGAGAGGGGATCTCGACACAGCCATCACCTTAGGGGCTGATTTCTTACTGTCTTTCTCTGACAAGCACACATGCCCTATTGCAAAACTAAAAAAATTTAACTTAATTTAAAAATAAAATTTAAAAAGTGGTTCTGTCCTGGAAGAGCACTGGCATGGATCTTACCTTTTGAATACTACTGATAACCTTAAAGGATACAAGCTGGGAACTAAAATGTATCCCACAAAAATAAAACAACTTCTATGACAAAAATAACCAGTTGTTCAGGAGAAAATATCAAATATGAAACAAAGCTGAATATATCATCTTTAAATTTTTGGTCAATTCAAGTTGCTATCTTTAAAGTTACATTAAAGTACATAGTAACTACCTACTAACAGTACAATGCACTTAGCATATTACTATAAAGTAAATTAATCTTTCTATAATAGCAATGTGAAACTCTAATGTCCAATCCAGTGATCCAACAAATAACTTATCGAATAATTACTAGGTCTATGGCACTAAGTGGTATAAGAGCATACAAAAGAATGCTTTCTTTAGATTGCACTTTTAGTTTAAGAAGAGATGGCTAGGGAAGATTTCATAGAAGAGGCAGAATATAAAATGAAACCTACAAGACGGACATGATGTCTTATGAAAAGAACTCCGTTACTGAGGTCAGCAGGTAGTGTAGGGGTTAAGGCTCTGGATTCCCACATGGCTTACTGTGGTCTGAGTCCCAGAGCCACTGGCTTGCTTTCTCACTTTCCCTCTGTCTTTTGCACACTCTGTCTCTGGTGAGTACACACAAAATTAAAAGATAATAATAATGGGACAAACAGCTGGCATAATGGTTATATTACTAGACTCCTACTTGACTCACTGTGTCTCTGAGTCTTGGACCCAACAAATTAAAACTCACGCCAGGTGCATGTGCATGCGTGCCCAAGAGTCCAAGAGGAGAATGGAGAAGGAGGGGCAGTGTGGCCATCCTCCCCCGGGAGGGGTGACTTCTCACTTTCTGCCACTCTATCTCTCTCTCTCTGACAAGTACATGGGCCCTATAGCAAAAATCTCTCAAAAAAAAAAAAAAGAATAGTAAATAATTAATGAAATAAAATAATTCTTTAAAGAATAAAAAACACCCTACTTTCCTAATTTTCTAAGGCAGAAATATGGGAGTTTTCCCTCACCCTTCCCTGTCCACACACGTCCATCAGTGCTGCCCCTGACGCCTCACAGATGTGCCACTTCCCTCACCCCACTGACATACTTGAGCTTTGGCCACCATCACTTTTTTAAAAAAAGTAAGACTTTTTAAGTTTTATTGTTTTTCTAGTTTTCACTTTTTCCAGAGGATGTGTGAACTCATCACAAAGGGAGGTGAGAAAGCACCCCTCACAGAGGGATTCCGCAGCCCGTCCTTGTCCATTTCTTCTCCTTTCAGGATTTTCGCCATGCGTGCACACACAGAGTGGTGTTTTTCAAGCCACCAGGTCCAGGACTTGATCCACACAGTCAGCCACATGGGATCCAGCTTGCCTTAACCACCAGGCCAAGGGCTGTTCTCTAAACGTTAGACTTCTTTTTTAGATAGATTTTTGCTATAGGGCAGATGTGCTCACTGGAGAGACAGAGACAGAAAGCAAGAAATCACCCCTCAGGGAGGACGGCCATGCCACAATCTCTCTTCCATTCCTTTGTGACTTTGGGCATGCATGCACACATGCCCGACATGAGTTTTAAGCCACCAATCTGGGACTTAACTGCAGTCAGACTACGTGGGAGTCCAGCGATGTAACCATTACACCATCTGCTGCTCCCAGAACACCATCACTTTAACCGACACTCGCCAGGATAAATTTCCTAACTGTTCATCTACATGACTCCCCTTTCCAATTGCCTTTAAAAAAAAAAAAAGTGACCTATGTAAAATGCATATAGCATCATTTAATACCTGTGATGTTATGAAATATGTATTTTATATGAAATATAAATACATGGGTAGAGAGAAAGACGGGGGCCTTATATGAAGAGACACCAGGAGTACACACGGAGGAAGGACCATGTGGGAGCACAGTGAAAAAGCAGCCGTCTGCAACTGCCGTCTTCATCCCCGTTTTTTAGCACAGAATTCCTAAGATCTCTGGAATCACCAAAGGAACACATACCCTTCTGTAGGCTAATGAAATGACTGGTGGTGGCGGCCCCAACAGCATCAAATGAGGCTGGTCACAGAAAAACCATGACTAGAAGATTGAGACTTTCAGCCCCAGCACCCAACCTCAAGGGAGAGGAGAGGGCCTGAAAGATGATTACTAACAACAAGCGAATGATTCAGTCATGTCTGTGATGAAACCTCCACAGCAGCCCTGAAGGCCTGGGTTCACAGCTCCTGGACAGCTGTACACGTAGAGGTTCCTGGAGAGTGGTGCACCCAGGGAGGGCCCGGAACCGGCCAGCCCCACCAATGTGCCTGGCTGATGTCCCCCCCCCACCCGCATCTCCTCATCTGTAGCCTTGTAACAGCTTTTATAATAAACCAGTAGTGGACCAGTAATGGACCAGCAGTTGGTGTGATGGCTATGTTGCTGGACTCCCATGTAGCTGACTGCAGTTCGAGTCCTGGACCTGGTGGCTTAAACTCATATCGGGTATGTGTGTGTGTGCGTGCCCAAGATCCCAAGAGGAGAATGGAGGAAAAGGGATTGTGGCATGGCCATCCCCCTGGGGGGTGATTTCTCGCTTTCTATCTCTCTGTCTCTGTCTCTCTGGCAAGCGCACATGCCCTATAGCAAAAAACTCTCAAAAAACAAAACAAAACAAAACAAAACGGTAAATGTAAGTAAAGTAAAGTGTGTCCCTGAGTTCCGTGAGCCACTCTACAAAGTAATTCCAAAGAGGGAGGTCTGGGAATCCCAGTTTACAGCCAGCCAGTCAGAAACGCAGGGAACACGTTCTGGGGGCTTGCGGCTGCCATCAGAAATGAGGGGCCGTGTTGTGAGTCAAAAAGCTGTTGTTAGAGTAGGGCAGGAAAACTCGATCAGTTTATTCCTGTGTTCTCAAAACACCCTTCTCTTAAAATCCTTTGGTGACTTCCACTGTCATGGAGAAAACCGCAGCTCTTTAACACATCACGAGCCTTTTCCATTCTGACTTCTGACTTTTGCTAGCCTCATTCCTCTACCCTCCATCTCAGAGGCTCCTGTCTCTGTGGCTATCTGTCTATAATGTCCTCCCCCTATTTACTGCCTGGCTAATTCCTCCCTATATCTATCTCTACCTCTATATCTTTATCTTTGAAAATTTCAAACCAACAGAAAGTTAAAAGAATAACACAATAAACATATACTCTTTCCAGCTGGCCAATGGCATGATGGTTGGAGCAGCTGGATCCCACAAGGTAGACCAGTTTGAGGCCTGGACCTGGCAGTTTACTCTCTCTCTTTCTCTGGTAAGGTACACGTGCTCTACAGAAAATTAAAAGAAATAATAAAATTGGGACCAGCAGATGGCGTAAAGATTATGTCGCTGGACTCCCACGTAGTTGAACGTGGTGTTCAATCTATACCGAATGAATAAAAGAGGTATGACCAAGAAATATGACTCTTACAGGCGGAATCATACTGCCCAAAATTCGTATTTTGAAGCCCTAACCCCCTGTGTAACTATTTACAGATAGAATCTTGAAGGAGGTTAAGTAAGGTCATGGAGTGGGGCACTGGTCCAGAAGGACTGGTGTCCTTATGAGAAGAGACACCAGGAGTCTGTATACACACAGGAAAGGCCATGTGAGAACACAGCAAGAAGGCCGCCATCTGCAAGCCAAGAAGAGGCCTCACCAGAAACTAATTCAGCCAATACCTTGATGTTGGACTTCCAGCCCCCAGAACCGTGAACTGTGAGAAAATAAATTCCTGTTGCTTAAGCCACCTTGTCTGTGGTACTGTTACGGCAGCCTAAGGTAACTGACACAATGACACAGAATCTCATACCCACAGCTTCTACAGATAATGGAATGCTATGCAGCACAACCATTAGTACAGATACACACAGAGTATTCGACCAAATTCTATCAAAAGAGGACACAGTTCCACTAATAAACAGCTTACAACTGGGACCAGCAGATGGCATAATGGTTACATTGCTGGACTCCCACATAGTCAGCGGTTTGAGTCTCGAACTCGGCAGTTTAAACTCACATCAGGTATGTGCGTGCATGCCCAAAATCCAAAAGGGGAATAGAGGAGAAAGTATTGTGGCCATCCCCCCAGGAGGTGATTTTTCACTTTCTGTCCCTCTGTCTCTCTTTGTCTCTCCAGTGAGCACACGGGCCCTATAGCAAAAATCTCTCTAAAACAATAAATAAATAAATACCTTACAATGATACTACTGGAGATTTGCTTTTAGTGAACCACATAATCATTCAAAGCATTCTTGCTGCCTGAACTTGCAAAAAATCATGTTACAAAGTAAGACAAACAGGTGTTAGATGCCAACTAAAACCTTGATTATACTTGGGACCAAACAATTAATTGTTATTACAAGGTTATCAATGAATCTCTGAAACTTTTTTCTATTAAATTTAACATTAGGGTACTGAAAATACTCAAGTCACTGGAGAATTTTAACTGGCACAATTGTTTTTAAATACATTTAAACTGAAAGAAAAGAAACTACAAATAAACAGGACTGGCCCCTTATACTCATACATATGCAAATATGCACAGGGTTATTCTTAACCCCATCATTTACCTTCTGCCCTTTTCACAAAGCTTCTCGATTTCAGCTTTCAGATCCTGCTCCTTCTGCAAAAACTCCTTCTTTTCTTTCTCTATCTTCTTCTTTGTTTCTTCTCGCTTTATTGTCAGATCCTGAATAGCCTTTAATATTTCCTGAGTCCCACACGATTACAGTCACATACAAATAAAAAAGAAAATAAGTTAATTCTTTTGATCTGAAGATTATCATTATCATTAGTAGTAATAGTAGTAGTAGTGTAATTTAGGTTTTTGCTGTAGGGAACATGCACTTACCAGAGAGAAAAAAAGAGGGAGGGACCAGCAGTTAGCGTAATGGCTATGTCGCTGGATTCTCATGTAGTCGGCCACGGTTTGCGCCCTGGATTCAGTGGCTTAAAACTCACGCCAGGTGCGTATGTGTGCGTGCCCAAGATCCCGAGAGGAGAATGGAGGAGAAGGGATTGCGGCGTGACCATCCCCCCTGGGGGGTGATTTCTCGCTTTCTTTCTGTCTGGTGAGTGCACGCACCCTATAGCAAAAACCTCTACCCCGCCCCCGGCAAAAAAAAGGGAAAGTCAGAAATCACCCCCTACGCTGCAATCTCTTCTCCTCCACTCTCCTGGGATTTTGGTCATGATTTCCAAGCCACTGGGTTCAAGAATTGAACTGCACATTCAGCCATGTGGAATCTAGCACCTTAACCTCCAAGCCACCTGCTGGCTCTGAAGGTTAGTTTTAATTATCCCAAATTCACATTTGACTTTAGTGAATTTGAATCAAACGGAAAGAATGTGGTTAATGAGCAGCTCCAAAGAACTATATTCACACTTAAGGGAGGAGGTTTCAGGAACTGACCTCAGTTCAACAGGAGAAAGAATTCCTGACAATCACAACTGCTCAAAATGCAGTATCTTGCCTTGTGATGCAATAAGCTCTCCGTGACTGGAATTCAAATAAAGGCTGAACAAACACCTGTCACGGGTGCTGAGAATGGTGTTCTTATACCGAGTGGGAGTCTGTCACACCCAACAAATATGGTCTTGTGTTGTTTTATTATGGTTCTACTTTATTACATGTGAAGTTTTTGTTTATAATTTAACAACAAATATATTTGTATACATAGCTGTAATAAGAAATCAAACAATGGGCCAGATCCATAGCTTAATGGCTAAAGGAGCAGGGTCCCACATGGCTAACCATGGTCTGAATCAAGGCTTGGGTAGCTTGGAAAACATTCTGGACATATGTACTGTATGCCCCAAATCCTGACAGGGTGGAGAAATGAAGACAGAGCTGCCCTATGACCAAGCCCCACTGGGGGATGCTTTCTCTCTCTCCCTCACTGACAAGCACATATGCCCTCTGGCAATTTAAAAAAAAATAAGAAGGCAGCAAACAATACAGAGGTAATTAAGTTAACAGTCATCCTGGACTTCACACCACTTGCACTCATAAAGGCACTCCAGGTACTCACTGCTTTGTATTATGCTTTCACGTCGTCACCATTCTCACATAATCACACATATACGTGTATATATATTCCTTAGATTTTTTTTTAATGAGGTCATTATAGATCCATTATTCTGCATTCTTTTATCATCTGACTTGAACATACTATATCAACACAGATCTAACACAAACATAGCTGCATAATATGGTACCATAGGAATATATCTAACTTGTTCATCCATGTTAAAAGTCGGCTGGGGTGGGGTGGCAGGTGGCATGGTGGTTAAGGACGCTGGACTCCCACATGGCTGACCATGATTTGAGTCCCGGACCTGGTGGCTTTCTCTCTCTCTCTCTCTCTCTCTCTCTCTCTCTCTCTCTCCCTCCCTCCCTCTCCCTCTCTGGTCAAAATAAAATAAATAGAAAAAGTTAAATAAAATAACTGTTTTTTAAAGAAGTCAGTTGGGTTGATTTTGTATTTCTATAAGTACATTTTTTAAAAATAATTATTTTTTATTTAACTTTATTTATTTATTTATTTTAATTTGACCAGAGAGGGACAGAGAGAGAAAGAGAGAATGAGAAAGCAAGCTGCCATGTCTAGGACTCAAACCCCATCAGTCTTTTGGGATTTTTGTGCCCAAAATCCCTGGAGGACAATATAAATACATTTTTATTCTACCTTTTTTTTTTTTTTTAAGAGGTTTTTACCTTAGGGTGCATGAGCTCACCAGAGAGAGATGGGCAGACCCAGTAAGAAAGAGAAATCACTCCTCAGGAGGAATGACCACACCGCAATTCCTTCTCCTCCATTCCTCTCTCAGGATCTTGGGCAGGCATGCACACATGCCCATGCCCAGTATGATTCTCTTTTTTTTTTTTTTTTTTTTGAGAGGTGTTTGCTACAGGGCACATGCGCTTGCCAGAAAGACAGAGAGAGGCAGAAAGATAGAAAGCGAGAAATCACCTCCCAGGGGGGATGGCCACGCCGCAATCCCTTCTCCTCCATTCTCCTCTTGGGATATTAGACACGCACACACGCACGTACACACGTCCGGCGTGAGTTTAAGCCACCGGATCCAGGACTCGAATCGCGGTCGACTACATGGGAGTCCAGTGACATAGCCATTACGCTAACTGCTGGTCCCCCCAGTATGATTCTGAAGCCACAAGATTCAGAACTGGAACCACAGTTGGCCATGTGGGAATCCAGCAACATAACCACTATGCCATCTGCCAGCCCCAACTTTTAATGTAACTTTTAAAAACAATACAGTAAATTGCCAGCAGGTGGTGTGGTTGAGGTACTGGACTCCCATATGGCCGACCACAGTTCAAGTCTAGACCTGACGACCTGCTTTCTCACTTTGTGTGTGTGTGTGTGTGTGTGTGTGTGTGTGTGTTGAGTGCACATGTCGTATAGCAAATTAAAATAATAATAATAGGGGCCAGCAGATGGAACTACAGATGTGCACTTTCACACCTGGCCTGTAGGCTGGCCTAGGAATCAAACCTGGGACCCTTGGGCTTGGCCTAAGGAGCACGAGTCTTGTCAGCAGGCACCACTGAAGGGGCCCATTCTTTACTATTCCTACTATCTGTCTGCCCCAGCTAGAACAAAAAGAACTCCAATGAAAAGCGAGGCTGCTTTTCACCACTAAATCTCCAGAGCCTAAGTCAAGGGCTCATGAAATACTGACTGAGCAAACGAATGAACATCAGTGACACTAAGCTCCTCCTCTCACATTTATAATAGTTTTGCTTCTCCTCTTTTGTGATTCCTATTTGTAAATGTGGTAAATATGCCCTCCACAAGAGGGGGAACCAGCAGTTAACGTAATGGCTATGTCGCTGGACTCCCACGTAGTCGACCACAGTTCGTGTCGCGGACCTGGTGGCTTAAAACTCACGCCAGGCGCATGTGCGTGCGTGCCCAGGATCCCAAGAGGAGAAGGGATTGCGGCATGACCATCCCCCCTGGGGGATGATTTCTCCCTTTCTGTCTCTCTGTCTCTGTCTGTCTGGCGAGCGCATGCGCCCTATAGCAAAAATCTCTTCAAAAAAAAAAAAAAAAAAGTGCCCTCTTCTAGTCCCTGGAACCTGTGTATGTGTTACCTTCCTTAGCAAACAGGACTTTGTAACTGTGATTCAGGTCAGTGACCTCTAGACGGGAAGACTGTCCTGCAGTACAAAGGTGGGCCCAATCTAGTCACATGAGTCTTTAAACATGGAGAACCAGGGGCCAGTAGGTGGTGTGGTAGTTGAGGCACTGAACTCCCATGTGGTCAACTGTGGTTTGAATCCTGGACCCGGTGGCTTAAAACTCACAACGGACACCTGTGTGTGCATGCCCAGAATCCCGAGAGGGGGATGAAGGAAAAGGGACTGTGGCGTGGCCATCTTCCCTGGGGGGTTATTTCTCATTTTCTGTCTCTGTCTCTCCAGTGAGCACATGTGTACTATAGCAATAATCTCCCCCCCCAGCCCCCCCAAAAAATGTAGAAGACCATTTGCAGTTGTAATCAGAGGAAAATGTGTCTAGGACAGACTGGTCAGACAAATGCTATGTTGCTGGCTTTGAATATGGAGGATGGGGACTGCAAGTCAAGGCAAACTCTATAGGCTGAAAGGTAAGGAAATGTATTCTCCCTTAGAGCACACAGAAAGAAACGCAGGCAGCCCTGCCAATCAATACCTTGGTTTTAGGCCAGTGACGCCATGTTGGACATCTGGCCTACGAAACTGTAAGATAATAAATTTGCCTTTTTTCTTTTTTTAAAGGTTTCTGCCATTGGGCATGAACACTCAAGGAAGAGACAGAGAGAGGGAAAGTGAGAAATCACCCCTAGAGGGTTTGGCCAAACCACAAACCCTTCCCTTTCCTTCTCCTCTTGGGATCTTGGGCATGCGTGCACACACATCCAGCATGATTTTCAAGCCACTGAGTCTGAGACTTGAACCGCAGCCAACCATGTCGGAGTTCAGCACCTTAAACACCTTGTCTCGCCCCATGAAAGTTTTTTTTAAGAGAGATTTTTGCTATAGATCATGAGCACTCGCCAGAAAGAGAGAGAGAGAGAAATCATCCCCCGGGGAATGGCCACGTGACAATCCCTTCTCTTCCATTCTCCTCTAAGGGCTTCGGGTATACACATGCTTGACCTGAGTTTTAAGCCACTGGGTCCAGGACTCAAACAGTGGTCGGCCATGTGGAAGTATAGCACCGCAACTACTGTGCCCCATGAAGGTTCTTTTTATCTTTAAAATTCTATGATAACCACTAAAATGTAAATTTGCTTCCTATTTTATTAAATCAAAACCAAAATTAAAGTCAGGGACTGTGGTGCAACTCACGGACAATTTCAATATAAGCAGAATACCTGGTGATTCTTCATTTCTTCCTCTCTCCTTTGCTGAAGTTGCTTTAATTGTACTTGGAGCTGGTTCTCCACTTGCCTCTGCTTGTCCAAGACCTCCTGGTAACGCTCCTTCAGCAGGGTTCTCTCTGTCATCATTTTATCCTATTGAGAACAACGCAGGGAATGTTTAATCACAAGCAGCATACATAGGGCCTGTCCAAGGAACTGAGCACAACTCTGCAGCTACACTGTCCAATGCTGCAGCTCCTAACCTCATGTGGCTACATAAATTTACATTCATTAAATGCAACAAGAGAGGGAAATCCAGGCCCTCAGCTGCCTAGCCACATCTCAAATACTCAGAAGCCACACGTGACTAGTGCTTACCATACCAGGGAGCAGATTTAGAACATTCCCATCATTGCAGAAAGTTCTATGGTACAGCTGCTCAAAAGGAAAGTCTGACGACCTAAGCAAGGCTTGTGGGCCAAACCTGGTTATCGCCTAGGTACTTATAAATAAGGAGGACGGAACAGCAACACATCGTTCAGTTTGTGGGTTGCTTTCACACTACAGCAGCAGCAAGGAAAGCTTCAACAGAACTCGGATGGCCCAGAAAGCGCATTTATCCTTTACAGAAAACAGTCTCCAAATCTGGCTCAAAAGGACAAGAGGAAGGGGCCAATAGGTAGCATGGTGGTTGGGGCGCTAGACTCCCACATGGCTGATTACGGTCCGAGTCCGGAGTAGTCTGAGTCCTGGACCCGGAGGCGTGCTTTCTCACTCTCTCTCTCTCTGTGTGTCTCTCTGATCAGCATACATGCCCTATAGCAAATTGGAAAAAAAAAATAATAAATAAAATTAAATTTTAAAAATTCTCTAAAAAATAAGAAGAGGCATTTTATTGTCAAAAGGAAAGAGAAGAAAAGAATGTGCAAAAACAAAGAACAGATCACTCATTCTAATGACATCCAGAATCCCTGCTAGGCATTAGCACTGACAACGGCAGACCCACTACCGAGGTCTGGGAAACCCGGGACTCAGTGATCAACCCCACAAGCTCTCATTAAGTATGGATTACAAGTGAGGCTTCTAGAACCACGTTTCAGATCTCCCCCCACCCTGCACACGTGTCAGTAAATCAAGAAAAGCAATGGTTACCTTTCAAAAGGACACTAAAACTTAAAAGAGGATCCATTTAAAACACACTTAGTATAAAGTAGCCCATGTAAAATTCGAACTGAGAGTGTGAAATTAAGTTTGTTCATTGAAGGATAACTATTTTCAAAGAAAAGAAACGTTTTAGAAGTGAATAGGAGGGGCCAGCAGGTGTGGTAGATAAGGGCACTGGATTCCCACATGGCCAACCATGGTTCAAGTCCTGGACCTGGTGGCTTGCTTTTTGCTTTCTCACTTTCCCTTTCTCTCTCTTGTCAAATAAAGAAAAAAAAATGACGATAACAAATGGAAATAAATAAAGTGCTCAAAAAAAAAAAAAAATAGAAGTGAATAGGAGGCAGATGGTAGGTGGTGGTTACAGTGCTGAACTCCCAGGTGGCCGACTGCAGTTCGAGACCTGGTGGTTTGCTTTCTCACTTTCCCTCTCTGTCTGTCTCTCTGTTTCTGGTAAGCACATGTGGCCTATAGCATTTAAAAAAAATAATAAAAAATTTAAAAATTATTAGGAAAAAAATATTTTTGAGAGGTTTTTATTTTGCTATAGGGAGCGTGCGCTCACCAGAAAGACAGAAAGAGACAGAAGGTGAGAAATCATCCCCCCCGGGGGGGAAGGCCATGTCGCAATCTCTTATCCTCCATTCTCCTCTCAGGATTTTGGGCACGCACAGCATGAGTTTAAGTCACCGGGTTTGGGACTTGAACCGTTGTCGACCATATGGGAGTCCAGCGACATAGCCATTACACCAACTGCTGGTCCCAGAAAAAATTACTAAAAAAATTCTTTTAAAGAGAATAGAGAAAAACCCATCTTATTTTCATAATAAAAAATAGGTCAGAGCCAGCAGGTGGTGTGGTGGTTAAAAATGCTGGACTCCCATATGGCTTATTGCAGTTTGAGTCCTGGACCTGGCAACTTGCTTTCTCACTTTCTTTCTCTCTCTCCGTCTGCCTGTCTTTCTCTGGTCATAGTTAAAAAAAAAAAAAAAAAAAAAAAAAAACCACCCAAAAAAAAAAATTTCACTGGACCAACAGGTGGTATACAGGTTAAGAGGGCTGAATCCCACATGATCAATTCCATAGATACAGAGTTTTTTTTTTTTTTTTTTTTTTTTTGGAGGTTTTTTCGGGGGGGTGTGCTCAACAGACAGA